TATCTTGTTTTCTCCGTCTATGAGGACTGAGAGTTTTGCAGGGTATAGTAGCCTGGGTTGACATCTGTGTTCTCTTAGGGTCTGCATAATATCTGTCCAGGCCCTTCTGGCTTTCATAGTTTCTGTTGAAAAGTCAGGTGTGATTCTAATGGCTTTGCCATTATATGTTACTTGGCCTTTTTCCCTTGCAGCTTTTAATATTTTTTTCTTTGTTCTGTATACTTACTGTTTTGATTATTATGTGGCGGGAGGATTTTCTTTTCTGGTCAAATTTGTTGGGTGTTCTGTAGGCCTCATGTATCCTTATTGGCTTCTCCTTTAACTTGGGGAAATTTTCTTCAATGATTTTGTTGAAGATATTTTCTGGGCCTTGGAGAAGGGAGTCTTCTTTTTCCTCTATTCCTATTATTCTTAGGTTTTGTCTTTTCATATTGTCTTGGATTTCTTGGACAGTCTGTGTCAGGAATTTTTTGGATTTAACATTTTCTTTGACAGATACATCGATTTTTTCCATTGTATCTTCTACACCTGAGATTCTTTCTTCCATTTCTTGTATTCTGTTGGTTATGCTTACCTCTGTAGTTCCTGTTTTCTTCCCTAAATTCTTCCTCTCCATTATTTCCTCCATTTGTGTTTTCTTTAATTTTTCTAGTTCTAGCTTCAGGTCTTGAGTTGTTTTGTTTACTTCCTTCACCTGTCTGCTTGTATTTTCCTCTTTTTCTTTTAGTTCCTTCAACTCTGTCTCTTTTATTTCTTTCAGTGATTTAATTATTTCTTCTCTGAAGGCCACAAGCTGTTTGGCTGCATCTTCCTGTATTTCTTCAAGGATGGCCCTAATCTGCTTGTCTTTATCTTCCTCCATTTCTTTACGGATAGCCATGATCTGTTTAGTTTTATCTTCCTCTAATTCTTTACGTATTTTATTTGTTTCCTCTATTATCCTCTTCATCAACATAGATGTAAGGTCATCTTCTTGATTTTCTATTATGCTGCATTGTTCAGGGCTGTTTGCCCCTGGACGGCTGGGTTCTGGAGATGGCATATTGCTCTGTCTTTTGTTGGTTGAGCTTTTATGCTGACCTCTACCCATTGGGCTGATTTAGGTGTCGGCTGTTAGTTTCTGTGCTTCCTGGAGTCCTGAGGTAGGGAGTATCCCCTTGGCTGGCAGATGATTTTTCCTGAAGGAGTACTTCTCTGCTTTTTGGTTATGGTTACTGTATGGCCAGTGTTTCTCAGGAGTTGCCACTGCTCACCTCAGGTTTATAGCCCTGAGTAGTAGCTGTGGTCTATGTTAGGCAGGGGGGGATCTCTTCTTACCCATAGAAGTTCTCAAGACAGCTGCCCCACTGCTGGGTTTCTTGTTATAAATTTAGTGTGCTGCTGCTCACTAAATTTCCATGTACAGTCCTCTTGAAGAACCTGCTAATTCCCTAGCTGTGGGGTTTTCTCCCAACAGGGAAACTCAGTCTGTTATCCTGGGGCGCACAGTTCTGTCCGGGAAAGTGGGAGGTGCACTCAGAAAGTCTCTGGGCCAGAGGCTGATTGCTCCGCTCTGGACCTGGAGAATGTGCACCTAGGTTGATTTGGTACGTGGGGGCACTGCTCTGGTCTGGAGGCTGGGTGCCTCACTCTGGACCAGAAGCTGTGTGTCTCTGTCTGGGATGGCAGCTGCAGGCACTGCTCTGGTCCAGATGCTGTGGGTGCAGCCCTCTCGAAGGACCAGGCATTCCCAGAGTTTTGACAGTCTAGCTAGGGATAACTGGTTGATCCTTGGCACAGTATCTGAGGGCTGCTGTAATGGCTCTCTGGCTTTTGTAGGTCTGAGGATGCAGCTGTGTGTCCCAGTGCCCTAGGGGAACTCAATAATGACGGCAGAGCACAGCACTCCTGCCTGCACTAGAGTCTGCGTGAGTCCAGGAAATGTTTTGGTGCTGGGTGTCCTAAGCGTTAGAGTTGCTGACCCCCTCCGCTGGGGGTTTCCTCCTGCCAGAGATACGCAGTCTGGTGCCCTGGTGCCCACAGTTCTATCTGAGGCGGCGATCAGGCGCACAGGCAGGGCTCCGTGCAGGCGCCTGTGTCCCAGCTTTGGGTCCGGGCTGGCTCTTGGGGCACCCGCGGAACCCGAGTCTTTTCCAGGGGATGACTGGGTAACCTGAGGTCGGTCCCAATTGTTTCCTGCTCCGTGGGGTTATCTCTCGACTGGGAAATCCAGTCTATGATGTTGTGGGCCTACAGTTCAGTCTGGGACTGTGACCAGATCACGCTGGCGTGTAGCTCTGGGCCTGCGACCAAGCGCCTGGTGGAACCGGGATCTCTTCCGCAGTTTAGCCAGGTGAGTTAAAGCTGATTGAATCCCCCACCATGGGGTATCCTCTCACCTGTGAAACACAATCCCTTGTGTTTTATGGCCGTGAGTTCTGATTACTGGTCACTGTGCCAATCCTGCTGTGCTGCTCCTCAGAATGAGAGTCCTCCCGGCACCGCCATCTTGCCCCGCCCCGGAACCCTGTTTTCTTAGGAAGGATGCAAGAATGTTGTCAACCTGTGAGTCACAACCCTTTGGGGGATTGGATATCAGATATCCTGCATATCAGATATTTATATTATGATTCATAACAGTAGCACAATTACAGTTATGACATAGCAATGAAATAATTTTGTAGTTTGGGGTCACTATAACATGAGGACCTATATTAAAGAGTCATAGCATTAGAAAGTTTTAAAACTGAAAGGGGACCCTAAGAAGTTACAAGCGCCAGAATGGATCTGCAAAGCACACTTAGAGTGTAGTCTCTCAAGGCAGGCTCTCCAAAGCAGAGAACTTGCAAGGCACTCTGGGAAGGCACCAGAGGCTTCAGACTGAAAGCAGGAAAAGAGAAGGAGTCCAGTGTGGGCTTCCCAAGAAGCTAAGTGAGAAGACAATGGGAATTAGCATCTTAAAGCCTTGATGAAAGGAAGAAAAAAAGGGCTGATTTCCAGAACAAAAAATAGATTATTCACTGTCAGGAGGAACAATAGAACAAGACACAGACAGCAATCTGGCACAGAACATCAAATTTTCTCAAAAACAAACAAACAAACAAAACCCACAAAAAACAAAACCACTCCCCCCCCCAAAAGAAAAGAAAAGAAAACAGTGTTCAAGGTACACTTGAAAAGGGCTGGAGCCAAGCTCTGTACCAGCAGATGAGCAGGGGGAGGGATGGGAGAAGAGTGACAGTCATCTCCAGGAACTGTTTTTTCAAGCCAAATACTGAGAATTCCAGTTCTGTTGTTTACAGCCTTGGAGGGAGGGGGCTGGAAGGAACAGAAGGAAGAAGGAGGGAAGAGAGAGGACCACAGAGTAAATAAAACAAGGCAGCACCTGTTTCCCTGGGAACCTCTACATGTTGTAACAGCAAGTGCAAGTGCTAGTCTGACACCTGGCACCGATGCACTCCAGAAAGACCACAGCTTGACCTCCTTGTTTCACTGGCTCCAGAGTCAATGTTGTTTGGTTAGTAATCAAGTCCTCAGGCTAGGCACTTCAAGAGATTCTCCATGCCAGGCTGGCTCAGTGGTTAACATCACTGGCTGCTCTTCAAGAGGACCTGGGTTCAATAATCAGCACCTACAAAGCAGCTCACAACCCTCTGTAACTGTTAGTTCAAGGTCCCACATCTAAGCTGCTTAGCCATCTGTGATGTCATCATTAGTTGACGCCCAAAGGGGCCCAGGATAAAAGGACCCTGCCTCTTACCTCTCTCTTTTGCTTTCTCTCTCTCTTTCTTTATCCTTTTTCTCTGTATGGCCGACCCCTCCCCTCCCCGCCCCATGGCTTACTCAGGCCCTAACTTTCTTCTGCTTCCCTTCCCTCAAATAAACTCTTTCATATAAAATCGGTTGTGTGCATGGCATTTTCATATAAATACTAGCAGTAACTCTATGGGATCTAGCATGGCCTTCTGGCTTCTGTGGGCATCAGGCATGCACATGGTACACACATACATGCAGGCAATACAGCCATACACAGAAAATAGTAATAGTAAATAACTAATAATAATAATAAATTAAAGATTCTCCAGGCCTCGTTGATTCTACTGTTGTCCTTCAGGACAGGAGGTGATGTGGTCGAGGCCAGATATGACAGTGGGATGAAATGGGGCTCTGCAGTAGTTCTACCATGATCCCTTGCGTCCTGGAAAGACTCAAATTTCTTGTATATAGTCAACATTTAAAACCTTAAAATTATGACTGCCACTGATGCTCACAGCTCACCCATCTCAGGAGTCAGTGTATGGATCAATGCATCCGTGGCTTGTGTCATCTCCTAACAATTCAACAAGGAAAGACAAAACGAAACAAATGCCATGGCAAAAAGCACAGCTCTCAGCTTGCAGAGAGTAAGAGATGGTTTGTTCCAGGGCTATTTTGAATGACCAGGGCCTGGGAAACCATATTTAGGTTACCTGAAAACCACGTTTCACCATGGAATCTGTTTCATGAAGTTTTTTTTAAAGCAAACAAAGTCATAATCAAGGCAAATTTAAAATACAATGGTAGGTGGGTACAGCAAGATAGGGGAAGCTTGTCTATAGGCCTATCTAAGGTGGGAGCAAATAGTTTGTTAAAAGATTCAAGGAGGTTTTCATCTATCCATCATAGGATGTTAGCTCTAACACCGAGGTAGTCAAAGAATGGCTGTTCTGGGAGATAAAGCTAGCTTAGGATAAGGTAATTAGCAGCACTCCAACTTCTCCAGAGTACTGAAGTTCTAATCAGCACAACTCTGCAGACACAGCTTTCTTTTAGGAGTGCTCATGCACACAAACCAAAACGGTAACAAAATAATCTAATTCATGAAACAGACACATTATTCCCTCTTTACAGAGGCACAGGAAGGGAAGGAGGGTGGTCATTTGTTCCTGGCCTGGGGGAGAACCCAGGCTCTAACCTAGATGTAGATTCTTGGTTAAGAAGATGTAGGTAGACATAGAAGCCAACCATGGGGTTCACCTTACCTTAGTGAAGGTCAGGCAGTCTTTATCTTGGTCTCTGTCCTTCATCTCAAAATCATAAAGTGCTTTGCCTTGGGGCAGAGCCTGCGGCAGGGGCCTGACACACTGGATATAGCTGGCTGGGAGGAAGCCGTGAGTGCCCTGCAGCTCCCCGTGGTACCAGTTCTCATCTACCTTGCGCCGCAGGATGATGACATCCCCTTTGTTGAACTTGAGATCACCAGGTTCTTTCCCCTCATAGCTGTAGAGGGCCTTGGCATAAGGAAGCTGGGACAGATTCTGCAAACAGAAAATAACAGGAGATTACTAGGAATGACCTCCGTAGCACCCAAGAAATTTGCCCTTGGAATCATGGTATTTGTGTGTCTTATGTATAAACAACATTCTGAGACTGAAAATTCTCTAAAGGAATGTCTATCAGCAGAACATATGAGTTCTCTGACCTCAGAAAGATAAGACAGTCCCTACAATAGCAAACTTCTCAATCCTATACACAAGCGCCAACTGTAGCCCAGCTTTCTACAGACACCACTTCACTGCGCTGAAAAGGCTCTGAAGGAAGCAATGAATTATTTGTCAGAGATAAGGAATACAGGCACCTGAGGGAATAACTGGCTCAAAGAAAGTTGAGCAGCCACTCACTACTGTGTGACTCTCCCTCTCTACGGATTAGTGGCACACACTCACCCAGGTCAGGGGGGCACAGATGCCTGGCAGAGAAATTCAGAGGCTACTCCTAGTCCTGGTCACACACCGGTCACACACCTCCTCATCCCCTCAAGCCATTCAAGCTTTTGATTCACACAACAATCTGGTCCTGGGGAAGGAGAATTCCAACCCTGGTCATGGACAGTCAGGAGGTGTTTTGTCACCCTGTCAATGTTAGTGAACCTTTCTAAATGGCATCTGCTACTGTGGTCTCAAACAGCAGACAGAGTTACAGCCCAAACAACATTTTTGGCACCCTTTTCATGACATCAAGGAGTCTCTTAGTCCTAAATGGACTGGACATTACTGTCCACTCCCTATACTTTTCTAATTGGTCCTGACTCATAAATTCTGGTCAGCTATACAAGTGTCTCTTGGTTTTCTTTCCTGGTAGTCCACACTTGTTCAATGATCCATTCTGTGTCCGAGGAAAGCCTTGTCATTGTCCCTGAGTCAATGTCCAGCAATTCCCTACTAGAAGTGGCATTTTTCTCACAAGAGCCGCCTGAGCCAAGGGTTCTGTAGTATTTAAATCAATCAATAGTAGTATAAAACTCAAAGCAGCAGTACATCAAAAAGTCTTTGTAGGGGGTTTAATAGCACACTGAAAATCAATCATTCCACATTTATGTCTCAGAGATGTCTGATGACAGCATTTAAGAGAAACCTGCTGGCAGACTGACAAACAACCCCCACTAGCCAATTAAATAGTAACACCAGAGAACTTTTCATTACAGAACTCATTCTGCATAGGTTTGTGCTGTAAGTACAATAGACTGTAACAGGCCCAGACTTTAAAGAGCGCAAGAGAAAGGCAATTTGCAATCCAATACTTTGCTTAGAAAAGACTAAAGAGGTGGCTGGCTGTGTGCCATCAGAAAAACCCCAGGACCATACAATGGTCAGCCAGTCCCTGGCCCACTGCTTTCCCACTAGAGACAACTTTTCTGAAGATACTTTTGGTTGTCACAACTGGAAGAGGTGCTGTAGCATCTAATGTGCAGAGCTAGGGATGCTGCCAGGCACCCCTCAATTCATAGCACATTCCCCAGTAGCCACAAATTTACCAGGCACCCCTCAATTCATAGCACATTCCCCAATAGCCTCAAATTTACCAATCCCCAAACTCCACTATCTAATTTATAAAAAGATTATGCTTCTTCTTTTTCAACTCAGCTTACCACCACATTAAAAATCAAATACAGTATATTTTTCATGACAGGAATATTTTCACTATTGACTATATGGCAGCACTTAGTATTCCACTCAGGAAAGAGGTTTCAAGTGGCAGTAAGAAAAATAACATGTTCTTATCCTCAAAAAGCACCTCCACTATGTACCCAAAGGAAAACTTCCCTTGACATAGACTGGCAGTGTGTGCCCTTGAGAGACCAAATAGTTGAAAATTGTTCTTTTTAGGTGTAAGTTTGGGGTTTGGAGCAGAGGCCTGGGCAAATGACAGCCAGGTGTAAACATGTCCAGCCACCTAGGGAAAGGAACTAGCTTTACAGCATTCTTTTCCTGCCCACTAGAGATACAGTTGCTAGGAAACTGGCCTAGATGGCCAGGCCAGAACTGTTTGTGGTCTTGGAGCCTAAAGTAAACCAATCATTTCAAAAGTCAATTTCCCTTACCCAATCATGTAACACCAAGGCATATAACTCCCAGCTGTGTTTTTGTTTTTGTTTTTTTCCCCCCTTTAAAAATCTTGTTCCCCTAGACCACTGGGCTACACTCCTCCTCTTCAACCAGGGAGAATGTTGTGACCTGGGCTCAAGCTTGTAATAAAAGATTCTCATGTATTTGCAGAAGAGTCGATTCCTGGTGGTTTTTGGGGGTCTCACAAACTGGGCATAACACCCTCTCTTTGCTAGACTCAACTTCTCATTAAAAGTGTGTATGCTCAAAGCTGTAATCTTAGAGCCACAGCTCTGGAAGCTCTTCAGGAGCTTTTGCTACCATACATCACAGTGTGAGCAGGGTAGACCATGCCAAACTTGGACCATTGCTGTGTCCTCCAAAGATCTCATTTCAATGAGCTTGGAGCCCTGTCCCAGTTGTCCCTGCAAAGAAAGAACTGGGGTTTCTGTTCAGTTGCCATATACAGTTGCTCTCCCCTCTCCCACATCATCAGGTAAACCCCACTCTCTCCAACCTTGCCACTTTGAAAAAAGTCTCCACATTCCTGGCACTTCTGAGGACCCAACCCTCTCACCTGCAGCTAATAGATGCCCAAGTCCAGTAGACTTGGAGAGGGGCATGGGAGGAGATGAGGGAGGGAGGGTGGAGTTGGGAGGGAAAGATGGAGGGGGCTACAGCTGGGATACAAAATGAATAAACTGTAATTAAAATTAAAAAATAAAATTAAAATGCCCCATCTGCCATAGTTGGTGTGTGACTTCCTCTGGCCTCATCCCTTGAACCTGCTGAAGTGGTCCAGGAGCTTCAGTTCATTTGTAATCTGGCTTGGATTGACTTACTTCAACAGCTGAGATAACCCAATAGTGTCAACTCCTGGATTTCTCTAGACAGAAACCAGTTAAAGTACCATTCTCATCCACTATGGACAACCATGGCCTTGGATCACTCATGTGATCTAATGTCAGGGAAATAGGCAATTCCTAGGAGTCAGCTTGTCTTTAGGGTCTGGAGTGTAGACTACCACCAGGCCAGGGATCTACAAGTTACCCTCTTTCCAGTTCCTGAAAGGCATTAATCTTAGCCTCAGGAGACTCTGGTTTTTATTGATTCTCCACATGGCTGGCAGTCCCACACATATGTGGGCCACAGGCCACTCATTACCACTTGCCTCTGTGTGTCCCAGCTCTCAAATCTATTTGTACCTCTACTTCCATGCTGACCAGTAGATTTCATATCAATCTAGCCACTTGTTTGGAAGGTAGATCTTCTCCACATCCCATAGACTCTATCTGTCCCTTTAGCCCTACTTCCTACATTTCTCAGGCTGACCATGGAATCTTTATCCAACTCTGCCCATCCTTCCCTGAACCCCAGCCTTTCTCCACAGTGCTCACTAGTCTACTGCTGTACTCCTGGATCTTCCCCTACCTCTCCCTCCTTTAGTCTCAATGAACCATACCGTGTGTTAGCTGCACAGGTGTAAATCTGTGCCTACCCTGCAATTTCCAGTGGCTTTCACTGCTCCGGAGGGATCTAAACTTCCAGGCAGAGGAGCAAAGCCACATTTTTCTGGCCATGGCAGGTAACATGACAACTCCCAAAAAGGATGTGTGCTCATGAAATCTATGGGCTCTGCTGACACAGGTCTTCATGCCTCCTTTCCCTCCTAGATCCATAGCACTTGTTCTGGGCTCCTGTCTGCTGCAGTAACAGGGCTGTGCTATATTTACAGGACCTGAGAGAAGCCTGACAAACACTAAACGCCAGTTTTCCTTTTTCTGTACTACAAAGGGACTCAGGGTAATCCCAAGTCAAGGCTATGTCTCTGCTGCAGGGGAGGTCAGAGTCCACTCTGCTCCCCTTCTGACTGTCATTAGCACAAAACCCATAGAGACAATATAGGCACGGTTCTGAATAAAACACACTCTCTCTCTACCATGCACACATGTACACACACACACACACACACACACACACACACACAAGCACATGTATAACAGAAATAATGCTGACAGGAAGTTAGTTATACTGGGCTAGAAGAGCCAGAAACTGGTTCTCCCTGTTAAAAGATGCTCAAAAAACGGTGACTTACGGCACTTTCCAGTCTTTGATCTTCAAAGCCCATTATAAGGTTAACTAATTAGTTCATGGATGGTTCTAGAGGAAGATGAGTATTACTGGGAACAGAGTGGAGATAAGACTCCTGCAAATCTCACTGTGACAACCCAGCGAGCTCCCAGGTTCCCACTGCTTGGGTTCCAATCAGAGCCATTTGCTTTCTTTCCAGAGACAACTTCTCTCAGAGGGAGGGCACTCCCCTTAGGAAGAATTGAGTTCAAACACTACCAGGAAGCCATCATTAAAGCATTAAGAAAAAGAAATAAAAGGGTAGGAAAAGAAGTGTATCTGGGAAGCCTACAGAATAGTTAACAGCAGCTACCCCACAAGGCATTAATAATAATTAAAACTCATAATGTCAATTTCATGGCTCATTACTCAGATGAGGCAAGCAGATCTTCCTCTGGGCTTAATGTCCTATCCCATAGAGACAAGGTTCTTACATATGCAGAGCAGCACTTTCGAGCTTCCAAGGAATCAAATTCAGCAGTTTGCTTTGACAAATGAGATTCTATTATACCCCCAACTCTGCAGGGTCTCACACACACCCCTGGGCTAAGGGGCCACCATGGCCTAAAACAAAGTGGTGAGCACTCATAGGTGGGTCTTACACCTACAGAGCCCCAGAAAATCAGAGTGAAACACACAAATCAAGAACTCCCCCACTTTTAGACCCCCATGAGTTCAGTGTCTTTCATGCTTGCTACTTAGGGTTTGTCAACCTATTAGCAATGGCTATGGGTCCCATCATTATAGACAAGTTGGTCCATATTTGTCCTTAATCTGTGGCCTGATATAGGTCACAGGATCAA